ATTTTAGCTTCAACCTCAGTAACAGCAGTTTTTTTCTAGAGTTATTATTCAGATTTTTCCTGTTCACAACACATTATCTATCATTAAATATTTGGAAGATGTTTTTATTACAGAGGTGCTTTTGCTATTCAGGGACAGTTGTTTCTATTGGGACGCTTCATGCAATTTTGTAGTATGTTCAGGAAAAGGCACATTGGGAAACTTTACAAGGAGCCAATAACATTTCATATTACTTCTGTAGATGTTACATTTTATTCATTGATAAAAAAAACATTTGTGAATAGGAAATTCTGGGTATAGGATTCTGATCCCTGTGCATCCAATTTATTGAATGACCCTTTCCATCAAAATTAACAATCCCTCCCTTGAGGAGGGATCAGAATTTGGGATTTCTTTCTGCCAACCACGTGGAATGAGCAGGGAGCAGAGAGAGACATTTTAGCCTGCAGAAAGAGACAAAAGGGAGGTGGGAATTTGGAGGCATCCCTTTACAGTTTTTCCCGAAGGCAAGCTTTGATGTGTCCCTCTTGATTCATCATGCTGAATCTTTTAAATCCTACGTCAAGACTCCTGTTTCTCTCTATTTAATGGTTAAGAATCTTGAGCCATTACTCATGTTTATGAATTCCAGTCACGGAGATTTGTACTCAGCTTTTTAGGACTGTGGCAATGATGAAATTCAATCTTATCTTAATGTAAAATATTTAAGACAATGCACACTGAGGTACTTGAGTTGGTACTCTACATCTCTTAATGATGATTATTAATGTTTACAGTAAGCTAGCATGGTTTTTTGTTTATTTACAGACAAAGTATGCGTTACACACCAACATAGGTATGACTTAGCTATTTCATTGAGGGACTGCTTTAAATGAAGGACTGAGTGATCTCTAGTAACTCTAACAGAAAAAAGTTAGAGAAGGAAGTAGCTAACATTAAATTATGGGAGTCCTATAGATCTCTCACTAGTTCTGTGTGTATAGATCCCAAGCTGCCATTGCTATAATATCACATGGAAAAAATGCAGAGGGAATTTCTAACACTCATGCTAGATAAGAGGTTACAGTGGCAATTTTTTTTTTTAAATGTGGTATTTCTTCTAAAGTCCATCAACAAGGAAAGCTGTGAGTCTCTAAATGAATACTATCAACTGCTGTGTTCCTCATAGTAATTTTAGAATTTAATGAAAATGTTATCAGAAGTCCTCAATACTTAATATACATATGCAGGATTTCTCTTACTCTTACTTACTCATTATTTACTTGCCAGTGTTTATTTTTTGCTATTTTAATTTCCTTTGTCTCCTTCAAAAACAACCGAAGGAACTCCACCCTGAATCGCTATCTTTTCAAGGGAGTGAAATTATGCCCTGGTAGTATTTTAGACTTCTAGTACTATGAAGACTTGCTATCTCAAGGTAGGCTTGTTTGAACCCATGTAGCTTGAAATGAAGTGCAGAAAGAGAACTGACTCCTTCAGGACCAGTATTGTTTTTTTGATTGACACCTGATACTTTGCAGTATCACTTTTTCCTAACTGTTGGCCAATGGCAATTCAGGGAGAAAGGCCCAAAGCAAGAGAATTGCTTTTTCACCCTGTGGTTCATCAGTACAGAGCTGCAGTATAGTAAGCTTACTAGAGTTTAGATCTAAGCTTTATCCTTTTAAAGTCACTGGATACCTACTAGACAAATGGTGTTGAGGGAAATTCAAGCATAACTGGCAAGATCTAAATATGTCCTGAGGGGAATGTTTATAAAACATCAGGGCAAGAGTACGAGCTTGTAAATAATCCTAATGCGCTACCCCTTTGGGGAAAATATTGCACACCAAGTATTACTCATTTCTATATTGTTTTCCTACATTATATATTTTTTTTTATTATTGGACTAAGTGGGTTTTATAGTGTTGACTGTTAATGAAAAGACCTGACTAGCATTGTCTGTTTGATTTAAGTAAACAGCATTTTCTTTTAAATTGAGTTTATGAGACTTCTGTGAGCTTTGGTGTTGCTGATATAGTGAGGATGTATGGCCTTTTAAAATCAGATTGCAGTTATCATGTGACAAAGTAATTTTTCTATCAACAGAACCTCAGGGAAGTTTATTTTGTTCTGCAAAAATTTAGGCACAGCTTGCAAAACAAGGCAAAAGTCCAATGAATGAAGATGGGATCAATTCCAGCCATTTGTTTGTATGGAACATGAGCAAAGATAGATTTTAGAGTAATCTTGTCTAAAACAACCATCCTTTGATAGTGTAACATGGCAATTATGGGCTAATCGCCACTGTGATTGGATAATAGTAGAATGCAATGACCTTCCTGGATTCTTGCTCCTTGGCTGTTCCTTGTTAAATTTCTAAGAATTTTCATTATCTTTTATTGAGTCTCCTTATCCATTTTTGTGCTATCCAAATGTATTTGACTATCCATAGTTTTAATATTTAATCCAAGAATTTTAATATGTTTGTGTGTGTGTACTTATCTATATATAAAATTTAAAGATTAAATTGAAGGGTATTTAGTCATCAGGATCAGATAAGGTGACATGCAACATTAAAATCAAATGAAGGTAGGCAGCATAACTACTTTGGAAGGACAGCCCTGAAAGGTATCTTTTCTTAATAAATTTTGGTTTTACCATGTTCATGCTTAGCATTTATTGTCTCAATTTTTAAAGATGGAGAAAGGACACAGAGGAAAAATTTCACTGAAAATTAGGTGACGTTTATGTCAGTCTGAAAGTGTCAATCTCAGATTCTCTAGAGCCCTGAGTGCTGGTTCTGTGCCTTCAGATCTTGAGAGGGCTTGGTAACCTCACTGGGATATCCAGAAGAGATTTTCCTGTAATGAGTTTCCATGACAAGTTTAGACAGATTGGCTTGCTTTGGGTCTAATATCCACCCATAGATGCATGCAAGACAAAAAAACCCAAACCAGCAGTTATGTTCTTGATTAAGGAAAGCTGCTATATGGTGCTTATGTGCCCCTTCTCCTCCCTCTCGTAAGCAGAGCTCCAAACCCAAAGTTCTGTGGGAGAGCTGGGTTTTATTTAAATCTCAGTCTGGGGGACAGACTCTTCTCCTCATCTCAAAAAAATGTCAATGACTTAACTATTACTGTGTAGGCTAGAATGGGTTAGGGATGCTCTCTACTCCTTCTGTTAACGCTGTGACCACTTTAAAGAGAAGTATTTGTCTTCCATCTAAACAAGCGGAGGAATGACACTCTGGTAAAAGCCTTTACTTTTTTATTCATCCAAAGCCATTGGTTAAAAATGCAACAATCTAAGAGGCAGCAACAACAACCAGTGACTCCTAACTGCTCTCCCTGTTCACTGTGTGGGAAAATTTGGGAAGGCATTTTCTCGGATGCCACTCCCAGCTGTAAATCCCAGAGAGAAAGAGGCATCTCTCCTGCTTTAAACACTTTTAAGTCTTTAAGAAGCAGAACTGATATTTCTCACCTTCTCTCCAGTGGAGAGGTCTATCCCAGTAGATACCAAGTCATATTCTTGGTTAGCCCTGTGGTTCATGTATTCCTGCCTGTAGGCCTTCAGTGAGACAGGTGAGGGATGCTCGTTCCTCCCTCTCATGCTCCAGTTTCTAGGGCTTGCTCCTGGGATGTAAATATTATGGCTTCATAATTTCCCAGTAGACACTGAAATCCTGTGTCCTTCTTTCTGTATATGAAGCTATCATGGCAAAAGATACCTTCCTCTTCCAGCAACCTTTTAAGAAAAAAAACCCAAGAATTTATACCAGTCAGATGTCTGATGTAGGTAGCTATGTACAGGAAGTAGTTTTTGCTGTGAGCATCCCTCTCCCGGTGATGTCTGTCTCACAGAAATGCTTAAGCAAAGGCAAAGGAAACCATTGTGTCTGACCTCTTCCCTCTCCTCTCCTCTCCTCTCCTCTCCTCTCCTTCCGTCTCTCTGTCCTTCCTCCCCTCCTTCCTCCCACAGCCAGTTATAATGTTTTTGTATATATTTTTCCACACTTTCTCTAAGCCTTTGAATACAAGGAGTTTCCCAGTCAGCTCCGCAGAACATCAGAGTAATGGTGTCCGTTTAAAGATGCTGCAGAACAAAATGCCAAATGGCAGCACCAGAAAGATCTGTTGTTGGGCTCTGGGTGAAGAGAGCACCCATCACATCTGCTCATACGATGCCTGCAGTTTCCTCTCCTCTCCTCTCCTCTCCTCAGCATTTTCTTGTGCATGTCCCTGCATTGTGAACTCAGGTCAGACATGCCCAGGTGCCCAGTGTTTCCTTGCTGGGACAGAGGTGCTTCGTTCGGTATCCCTGCAGCTGGCACACTTGGCTTTGGGCATTACAACATTGAGCACCACAAATCCTCTGTTACTTGCTGGGGCTGGGCTCAAGCTTCTAGCTCATGATTGTGGTTTCAACTAGTTGACAAGACTCCTTAAGAAAAGGGATATTTAGCATTGCAAATCATGAAGACTTTTGTGGCTTGAACTCTAAGTTATTCTCCATTCATCACCCAAAGACAGCTTTGGCAGAACTAGTTTGCTGGCTTGTGCTGTAACTAGTGGAATTAAAAATTCTGAAACTGCTGAAATCCTCTTTCGAGCCCAGGGATTAATAATGTGGCTGCTGTTAACTGGGAGTGCTGTTTCTGTGCCACAGTAAAGAGACCAGCTACTCAAATACTCAGTTATTCTGTCAATGTATTCCAGATCTCTGGGCACCTCTCCTCATTCTCTTTTCTGTTCTCCCTCTGCTTTATTGCATTTTCCGGTGCAGATTCCATGTGCTTAGTTCTGCTCTGGGGCAGGGAAACATGCTACAACAGATGCATTGAAAAACCCTGAATGTCCCCATTTTACACCTGAAACAACAAAGAGATTGAGCTAAAACACAAGTCATTTCTGAATTTTCCAAGTGCACTTCATACAAGGCACAGCTGATGTTGGAAGATATCTGGGTCTTTTATTTTTCTTTTTAGTGACACTGATTATTTTCTCTTACTGTTTCAGGCTTTATTTAAAAGGCCACAGTGGAACAGCTGGAAAACAGAGCAGCCTGATCTTACATGGTGCTGAATTCAGTACAAAAGATGCTGACAATGACAACTGCATGTGTAAATGTGCTCTCATGTTGACTGGAGGTGAGTGCAACAACTCTGAAAGTATGTGGTACATTGACAGGAATCTACTCTGTTTTCATAAAGCAACCATGGATGAAGTTGCATTCATGGATGTGTAACTATTGAGTGAAAATTCCTTTTATTATTATTACTCCTACTCTTTTCTGTATATATATTGTGGTAGTGCCAATACCTCAAGATTCCTAACAGCAGGGAAGGGATTATTCAGAGATGCAGTCAGTATACTTCTGCACTGAAGCTGTTACAATAATATCAAGGGGAAAAGCCTAAGCTAGTGTTATTTTTGAGGCAAGAAAGACAAAGAGAGAAGAAGCTAAGAGATAAGGAACAGGGGAAGGACTTTGTGAGAAGTAGGAGAATCAGACAGAAAGAGAAGAGAGAAAATGCAAGGAAATAGATAACAGAAGGCAAAGTTTAAAAACAATTAGAATCTGGACTTGCATGATATTATCTGTTTCACTTAGGGGTGTGATATTGTTATTGAAATAATTGTAATGATTCAGCTTTCTCTCCTATACAAGCATAATACATATACATTTGCATATAGACATAGTTAATGTAAAGGCTAATTCACTTACCTGTGAAAGACTAGACTTGGTGAGCTGAGTTGAACTGCAGAAGGAAAGAAAGAAGAGTCAAGTTGGGGGAGAACACAGAGTAGTTGCACTGGAACAGTTTAAAGCACCAAGTCAATCTGACTGCCAGCTAGTACATGACTGATATTTGTTCCCTCCAATATGGAGGAGGAGGAATATCTGAGATTATCTCCCCATACGGACACCTAAAGCTCTGCACAAGAGTGAGAACTTTTTCTGGCAAATGATGCTTATTTGTGGTCCCTATATTGGTAAGCTCATTTTTTATCTCCAGAAAACCACATTAAAGCAGAAAGCTTCAATTTTTTTTTTTATTGACTGTATGATCAAGAAGGGCTCTTATCTTCACATCTGATCTTCTTCAGAGACTCTCCCTCAGTGATTTCTAACTTTCCTGGAAAAAAACTTACAGCATATAAATTATTCAGTATTTTGGATCAGACTGTTAAGCTGCTATTATTTGTGGTTACTGGCACTCTGACTGAATCCAACTCAGGCCACATTCAGACATATATGAGCCTCTAAAACTGTCATCTGCTAAGAGAAGACGGGTTCCCATCACTGGGAATTTGTACCAAATACACAATGTAGCTTCTCATTCTCTTTAGCCGATTGGAAATTACCCACCTGGGAAAGTCTTTAAGGAGATGATTTTTCAAAATTTTCTGACTTCCTCTAGTGATATCTTATTAACAGTCATCATGGGAAACTTCTTCCGATACGGAGGTAATCAGGCACTACCTTTCTATAAGAAAAGAAGCTAACCAGGTAGTTCTGGAGACAGAAAATAGATGAGAAGTCAGTAGTTTATTTTAATTAAAACTGTTGACCTTTCCCTTTAAAGACCATGTTAAATTAAAGTGTCTTACTTCCAGGGCAGGCCAGGGTCTAGTGAGAAGCTTCTAAGCGTGAGCACTGTCTGTGCTGAAGTGCAGACTCATTCATGTATCCAAGCTGCCTGGAAATACCTCTGCTCCCAGACAGCTAATTCTGGGAGCTGAGGGTTTTGTTTATTTTCCTGCCCTGACTCCTATGGCAGGTCAATGCCCTGCTAAGGTCAGCCTGCTGTTGAACAACCATTCCACAAGGTTCACATATATTTTGTTGCAGCAGTCCTGTAAATCAGCAGGAAAACCACATTTTGGAATATACTGCTAGCAAATGAAAGGAATAAGGAGGAAGGGGGAGAATTACCAAATGCTGAGGAAACCACAAATAGAACAAATCACTGCAGAGTAAAAGGAGATGCAGTGAGACTTTGGAGACAGATGAGTCTAGTCTTTTTGACTGGACTCTGAGTACTAGTCTTTTGGAGAAAGTCTGTATAACACTGAGTAATTCATAGTTCTTGAAAAAGAGAAAAACTTTAATCATGCTGGAGTCCTCCTCAAACACTTTGTTATCATTTGCTCCTCAAAATGTCTTTCTCATACTTTGATAAATATCAGATACTGAATTAAATAGCAAAACATTTGTTTTGTGTGTAGATTTCAGTTTTATGCCACAGACTAAGACTAATTAAGAAAAGTAGCAATGATAACAGGTTTGGAAAAGCTCTTTTTGCTCTTTTTTTTTTTTTTCCCGAAAAGATACCACACTCTGTTTGTTTTGGCAACATCACAGAGAGCTCTTTAATGATGAATGATATGAAATCTACAGGCAGGTTCCCAGCTATCTTGACAGTTTGGTTGAGTCTGTTATCTCTATGAGGTGAACTGAATATATTTATGTCAGGAATAAAGGCTGAGATAAGCTGAAGCTCGAGACTGTGATATGGTTATAGTCAAGGCTGAAAATAAAAATGAAAGGAAAACACATTTCTCTCTGTGATCTTACTAGTTGTCAGTTTTATTTGGTCTATATCAAGACTATTATTCTTACTCCTCCTTTCTCTCCTCCCTCTTCCCCAGAATAAGAAATTAAACACTGGGAGAATAATACAGTAGCATCAACAGAGTTTTGTGTGTGTGTGTTTCTTGTGCTTTCAAGACCCATACTGTGCTACTTGACTCTATCTTAACATTGATTTTAGGCAGTGGCTTCAAAAGTACATGCATGAGCTGGATTCTTAGGTCCTGTGAACTTTACATGGTAATTAAATATTTTAACTGCTTTTTTCTGCCTTGGAAAATTTAAACTAAACATGTTTGGTTTACTTTAAAGTGAGGCGAAGCATATTTATTAAAATAATTTCTTCATTTAAACATATCATTGGCCAAAGTAGCAAAAACAATTTATATCATGAAAATACTTAAGAACTGGTAAAATATCTCAGGCCACTTAAATGAACAAAAGGTTATATTCCCATATAATTTCAAGCATTACTCTGAAGACTATCCCACTGAGCTACATACATGGCTTTTTGCAAGAAACAGTGCTTAAATTATAACAAACTGTCACGTGAATGATATCTAAGGCACTTCAGACAGATTTCCAATAGGAGAGCACTTAACATGTCTGAATCAGATTCATGGGTTTAAGGCCAAATTAGAGCATCCCGCCAGGATACCACCTGTCAGCTGAGCCCCAGGAATTGTTTATGCAATTGTTTTCAGTCACTGGAAAGTGAGTTCTAGTAATTTGGCCCATAGTGAAACAGTCTTAAGGTGACTTGCTTTGTCTTGCATTGGCTGCAGTCTGAGATGTTCACACAAGACATTTACCTTGCTTTAGGTAACAAGCTAAACTTCTGGTCCCTGAAGTAGTTGGACAAAATGATGGGGAGACTTTCGAGATGTTTTGCTAGTATTGAAACACCATATAATTTTTGAAATAACTTTTTTTTATTTTACTGGAAGCAGAGGTCCATCCAGCCGCAGTCTCCTGTCTCTGACAGCCCTCAGCAGCAGATGCCTCAGTACAGGCATAAGAACAATGCAAATAAATGATGCTTCCCCTGAGTATTTTCCCAGTATCTTTTGCATCTCAGGGGCTTCCTTGAGCCAAAGACAGTTCCCATGTATTAGTAATCCTCAATGGATTTCTCATCTATCAAGTGAGAAACTGCTCACTTGCAATCCCAAGCAGTGGCACACTCTTTGCCTGTTGTTTCACTGCTTTTTTCTCCAAGTGCTGAATTTTGTGAATCTCTGGCAAGAATTCTATGGAGGATTCTTGTCATGACTTGGAGGGAAGTTCTTGGCTGAATATAGAAATCCGCCCATCTGTTATCACAGTTTCTCTTATATTTTGTTTGAAACAAAAGCTTCAAAAGCAGCAATCTCAGCCCACTTAGAAGTATCCAACATGAACCCCTGGACATACATCTACTTACATAGGAAAGCATCGGTTTTTGGGTTTTATGCATATTGTTGCTTTCATAAACAAGTTACATATAAAACACCATTAATGAAGTATCATTTCTATTGTTTAACATTTTGACAGAAAAATATAACCACCATGCAGATAAGAATTTATTGGAATATTTTTTGATTGAGGCTTTATATATTATTGGAAATATTTCATTAGACATATAACTACTCATCACTTTTAACAAAATCATTACTATGTTGCTATGTTTATCAGGGTTAAATAAGGACAATAGCAATGAAGTATTAGAAGAACACCAAGTGACCAACTTAAAAATTATTATGTTGTTACATTTAGAAGATCAGCACGTTGTCACCAGTCTGAAAGTTTCATGCTATTTTTACCTCATAAAAATGATTGTGTTACCCAGTTGATATAAAAAGCTAATGTCTTTTTGTCTTATATCCAGACAGCTAAATTCTGATTTAATCTTCCAAAGGTGAAGTACCAATTACTAAGTGGTAGTCTGGTCAATCCCATACTGTAATGTATAATAGAACATAGGCCTAGAAATTTCTCCCAGAGGTCATTTAGTCCCTTTCAAAGATCGACTCTTCTCTGCATATTTATTTCTGTCTTTCTGTTTGTCTTCAAGATTTGTAGTGAAAGACATTAATTCTCATAATATAATCTGTTACTGAGTTTGGGTAAATTTATAAGAAATCTTGTTGACTAAACTAATTCAACAATAATTTAAGTAAGATCACAGAATCACAGGATCATAAGGATCAGAAGGGACCTTGGAAGATCATCTAGTTGAACCTCCCTACCAAAGCAAGTTCACCTAGAGCACGTTGGACAGGAAACCATCCAGGTGGGATTTGAATATGTCCAGAGGAGACTCCACAACCCCTCTGGCAGCCTGTTCCAGTTCTCTATCACCCTCAAAGTAAAGAAGTTTTTCCTCATCCATCTTGTCCTATCCTCTGTCACTGGAAAGAATAAACCATTCTTTTGCATTCCTTTGAAAAGCTGCTTTGTTCAGCAGCTTTTTAATGCATTTGAGATTGTTGGCAATTTATTTTTTGAATTCTGGACTAAACAGTTATAAATCTTTCCTCTTATATTCATTCTTTTGGACTCTGCCCAGTGGAT